AAATCATGCAAACCCAGTTTTGAAATGTTTCAGACAGTGATTGCATTCAGGGAGGTTTTTAGGCTGAAACACACTTTGCACCAATTATATAGTTACGTAATGATCATACAATTTCAGGTGTCACTCGCGAAACCCATACTCATTTCCAGAGTGACAGGTCTTGCTGCACTTTGATCACAGGGTCAAATTCAGCAAGGATCAAGGACCCGTCCAGGCTGACAGGTCTCGCTGCAGCGTTCTCAAAATAAAGACCTGCTAAGATCTCTGATGGAATAGGAACAAATAACATCTTTAAGCTACAACAACTGGTGCATCACCCTTCCTTCTCTCTCGCCGTAGAAATCCCAAATACAGTCAGCGCTTAAAGTTACAAAGAAAACTTTAGTGACTTTTCCCGGTTAAAACCCTTCACAGTAGCAAGCTTAACATAGATGAGCTCAGGGATTAATCCCCGTCGAGTAAGTACTTAACTAACAGGTAGGCTATCTCTCGAATCACTGATCTCTTCTTTCCAATCAATCAATTGAGCGGAAAGAGAAACAGAGTTCGATGGATCACAATTGAACTGTGTTGGTTTCTCAGTTAATTCGTGCGACTCCCTCGGTTACTCTTTTTCTCTCCCTATGACATCATTCAACTTCAGCAACCAATTTTCAAGACGGCTAAAAGAAAAAGAAAAAAAATTAAAACCACAGATTTTACAACAATCTTCACAGTTATCAGCTTCATCAAGCAACGATCAAGGAAATAACCGCTTACTTGCACTGTAACTTTAGCTCAAGGAAGAGGCTCGAACTTACCTGTCACGCTTCCATACTGAGCGTTTCAGACCCGTGTAGTGCTTGGGCATACCAGCTCATTCCCAATTTCTTTAAGCAAGGGTGACTCTTAATATAACTAGTGATCACCCTACTCATCTGCAACTACTGCTATCAACAACTCAACATCTCGCCCACACAGGCCTCACCAAAGAGAGGGGAATTGTGACTAAACTACCTCGTGAAGTTAACCCAGAGCCAAGAACCATAGAAAAAACAGCTTATCCAACTCTGGCGCAAGTGACGTCAACTGCAAACCCAGAGTGAAGGTGGCGAAGGTTAACATCAGTTATCAAGTCTCAATCTACTTTTCCGCATTGCAAAAACCCGCGCTGATTGTGTGTCACTCTTCAGTCTCGCTAACTCCTGCGAGTTCACTCACCACCGTATCTGACGAGTTGGCAGTAGCGCATAGCGCTTAGCAGGTGAACACACTTCGAGTAGGTGACGATTGAAGTTAACTATGCTTGCCTGGCTCGTATTCCCCGTAGGGCCAAGGCTTTCTCCCCGATTGACTCCACTGTCGCTCTCGTTATCACCAACACGTCGTGCGCAGATCGTACAACGCATCCCCCCCCCCGTCCAACTGATGTCAAGTCTTCCTCCCAACTAACTCTTGAGCGTGTCACGTCTCATCTGAGAGCATTTGTCACTGACCACCCGCAATGGCATTATCACTAGAGAGGGGCACGTGCGTGCAGCTCACACTTAGCGTCTGATGATTCTCGCAGCGTGGCCAAAACTTATAGTCACCCATTAGGCTAGAGTGTCACGCAGGCGCGATGGCGCTTGATGTCAACAACAAATTCTCAGGTTTCTTGCGTCCCTCTCATCGTCTCACCTGCATACGTTGACTTCTCTCTCTGCTCTTCAGAGCCTTGCCACGTGTAGCGCGTGTCTCTCAGTAACTGCACTTGCCTCTCCTCTCGTCATTGACCCCTGACACTCCCTTCTCGTGCCCGCCTACACATTCTCTACACAACAGTCACTCATTAGCGCACGTCCTCACAGTTCAAGAGAGTCACCCTCTCTCTACGCGTCCGTTTACCCAGCCCCTTTCTTCCGTTGACCGCTCTCTCGATCTCCAGGCTACGCCACCTGTCGCGCGTGTGTCTGTGCTACTGCTCTTGCCTCTCCGTTTTCGGGTTCAGTCCCATCCACACAGACTTCCCATGTCTCTTTTTCAGGCCTGTCTTTTTCCCTTGCTCTGCTTCTCACCCGTCCCGCGACCCCTTGGTGTCAGTTGTCGCGAGCTTGCCTCGGGTCCCTCTTCCACCGGTTTCACAGCCCGGTGGTGCCTCTGGATCTCGCCTGGTTTATTCCAGGATCTGAGGTCTGTTTCCCGATCTCCTGCTTCACTCATTTCGCTCTCCCCACCTGAGTCCCTGTCCACGTGGGCTTCTTCCAGGTCCGTCGTGTCCATGGAGGTCTCGGTCTCATGATACGACTGCGTTACATGCATTATCGCCGTCACGCCGTCCCTCCGGCAACACCTTTCCACACGATCTTTCGTCTCCATGATAGCATCCTGCAGCTTCCCATTAGTCCGCATCTCCACATCTTTTCCTCCTTCCACGTTGATCCTCAGTCTCATCTCATCTCCCCCGTCGTAGTTAAGTATAGCCGTGATCCAAGGCCCCTCCTCGAACATGGGTTTCCACTGAATCTGGTGGTACCAGTAGCAGGGTCTATACTCATGCAAAGCCATAGCCGCGTCTTGAATAGCCAGGGTCCCGACCCCAAGAGTACGCACTTCGGCTGACTTAACGACTGTCTTCACTACTCCAGCCTTTGGCCTCAGACTAGCGGCACCGATGCAGCGAGATAGCTCGCAAGCACCCTCAGACTAGAAGCGCCCAGTAGCCTGGTTTTCCCCTCTTTTATAGGTTCCTATTACACTGCGACCCCCTTGCTCTAAGCGGAGAGTTCAAGATAGCCTTAGTTTTGGCTTATCGCTTCCCGTGAGTCTCGAAAATAATAAAATAAATTAGATTAACGTTAAAATAAAATAAAAGAGTGGAGCGATAAACTAAACATCGCTAGTCACTGCACACTCAGACCTTTCACATCTTGCCCTTTCATTTAATCTTGCTGTGATAATAATCGTGACCTCCAGGAAGTGGTCCCATAACGGGATACCGACCTGCGCTCTCTTTTCTTCAAAACTAGTTACTGCCTATTTTCCTGATGGGTGCCCGCATCCGATGGTAAGGAGGGGGTTCATGACCTCCTATAGGGGGTGATGAACCTCCTACCGAAGCGGCCAAGGGTCGCCCCTCTTTTGTGGCCTAACTGCGCAGTACTCAGTCGGCGCTCACTCTCAGACGAAATAAGTGAGGTCGACCAATTCGGGCCACAGCTCCAAATTCGAACCGTTGGCCTTCCCGCGATGTAACAAAAAAGGTAAAAGAAAGCCGCGCCTGAAAACCGGTAAGGCAATAATAACAATAATAATAATAATAATCGCAGGAAAAGGAAAGGTGGCAATTCGAATTTCCTCCGCGAAGTAGTCCCGCCTGAATAGTGGTGCGAGTTCACACACAAATCTAAATCCCAACTTTTCGACCCTTTTTTCCCTTTTTTTCCCGGTCGCTGTTTCTATCCCTTAACGAGGCTACTGGGGTTCCACCACGCAGTTCGAACGAGCAGGTCCGGCACAGGTGATATGCGGGGGGTCGGTGAGGCCTAGAATATGAGACCGCAGTTGCAGTCCAAAACCTAAATCGACGGTCTCCCTACGAAGTGACGGGACCCAAGAAAAGGGAAACCCTAGCCTGAAAACTGATAAATCAGTAATAATAATAATAATAATAATAATAATAATGAAAAGAGAAAAACTCAACTGTCTAGTGACCCGATATCACTAGATTATCCCAGATTAAAGCAAGGGTCACGATCTAAGTACAGTTCCGACGCTCAGCTTTCTCCTTTTTTTTTTTTTTTTCTCCTACACATTTTATTTTCTTTTATTCCCTTTATCAACCTTTTCTTTTTTGACACTGACCTGTTCCGTGTACATATCCCATAACTTGCCTAGGGCTCGATCGGCGTGCAGACAACGCCGGCCTTTTCACCTCCGCGTCCCAGGGCGAACCCGACGGCTACCACGGCCACAGGCCGGTTGTGCTCTGCTGTACAGCAGGGCGCCGAGCCTGCGTCGACCAATGGAAAGCCCTGTGGCGCACCTTTTTGTTGAGGCAAACGCCGAGTAGGGCCGGTCCACGTCATGGCACAGCCCAGGTACCAGGGAACTTAATTCTGAAACACACTCATAGACCCCCATCGGCCACGATACTGGGACAAGGAGCCGTTATCAGACAGGGACACAATACACAGAGGAGGGGCGGGACACATCGCCCTCCGACATAATACCAAACCCCCACCCAGCGTCCCCGCTGGGACGAAATGGATTACGCTTCCGATATAAAACTAGTGTGGGTAAGCCGCATTTTCATTCACTCCTACTCGTGACTTGCGGTAGAATCCAATACTGTGTCTCAGCGCAGTCAGTTTCCTGTTTTCCCTTCAGCACTCGCTCCCTCTCTCTCAGCGCTCGCCTATCTTCCTCCGCATTAGCCATCTCCCTCTGCACTAGCTTCCTCCCTCTACGCTAGGTTTTTTTCCCCTTATGCTAAGCTTATTTTCTCTGCGCTAGGCTGTTTTTCTCTGCACTGGGCTCTTTTCCCTTAGCGTTTGTCTTCTCTTCTCTCTCACGTAGCATGTTGTAGTCTCTCGTAGTCGGCGAGGTTATTCTCTTCCATCTCATCATCATAAATTTCACTCATACAACCTTCTCGATCATAACCCTTGGCGCTAGATTCTAACAACCATCTCACGTGCATCATGCCTAAGGCACGCCGCAGACAAGGTAGAGGAAGGGGAGGTAGGACAGGAAAGGCTAAAGAGGAGCCGCCAGTTAGGGTACGACGCTCTTATAGTTCAGAGGAGGAGGAGGAAGAAGAACCTAGAGGCTACGCGCACCCGAGGTCCTACCCGAGTTATCCATCATCAGGGTGGTACGAGAAAACTCCATCCCCAGACAGGATGGAATACCTCCGGAAACAATTTGATGCGTGCTATAGTACACCCAGTGCTTCTTCTCCCCCTTATATCCCCAGAGCTCCTTCCACCCCTGCAGTGAGTAAGGCCATAGTGCCATCTCCACCGTTCCCTGTCCCATGTGTTGTTTCGCTGCCTCATCATCCTGACCATTGTATTCTATTCAGTATCTTTCTCCTTATCTTTCTTTTCCAGTTGAAGCTCAAGACCATCTTTTATGTCTTATATAAACATGATTTCTTCTCAGCTCTCTGAGTCCGTTTTCTGCCCATAAAAATCTCAGTTCACAGTCCGGCTCATAGCGTCCCAGGCCTGAGAGTTTGGCTTCCTTAAGGCCAGGGATGCAAGTTCCTCGTGAACCAGGCCGCTTGTCGACCACCAAATAAAATTTTAAGAAGGATTTAGTCTGCTTGTTTGACTCGTTCAGTTGCTGGTCTTTCGTATGAAGGTTACCTTAGCTCTTGATCAGGCATCTATGCCGGAGATGACCCCAGTAACGAGAGTACTCAACTTGTCCGCCATGCTGGGAATAGGGCATACCAAACCCTCTTTTTTGTTCTCTGGCCTGAGTGAGATGTCTTCTCAGCTTCTCAAGCACCTGATGTGGCTACCAAACCCTTGTTTTCTTTCTCTGGTCTGAGTGAGGCGTCTCCTCAACTTCTGACATAGAAGGGAGGGGATTCCAAACCCTTTTTCTTTTCCTTGGTCTGGGAACTTCAGATAAGTATTTGCATACCTGCAAAAATCAGCAAGTCCCACAGACAATAACCATGCCCCAGCAAGCAGACCCTCTGACAACCAGCAGTCAAACATTTACAATTTAAAAAATAAGACCCATAAATGAATTAATAAATAACAAATAACAATTAATACATAACAGCCCTCCATACCCAGGATTTAGTGATTGCCTTGGTTTCGGCCCACCACTGGCTGGGAATGTCAGACGTCCCGTCAGTCTGACATACCTCATTTGGCCCGCCTCAGGCCAGGACTAGTTAGACCATTTGTCTTGACAGCCCCTTTGACCTGCCTCCAGGTCAGGACCAGCATACCCACTACTCGAGTATGACAACCCTTTGGCACTCTCGCCAGGACACCCATTTGGTCACCCCATGACAGTAGACGTCCCGTAAGTAAAACTGCCCTGAACCCGGATTTGACCACTGCGGTCAGGGACCGGCTCACCTACCAGTTTTTGGCCAAGGGCGCTGGCTGCCCCGCCCAGATTTTTTAACGTGGGACCCGGTCTAACCACAGTTCCAGGCTCTGGCTAACCTCGCTGGATTGCAACCTGTGACTACGGTAGGGTTTCAACTGACCCCTTTCGACCTCATAGGCCAGACTCCCGGAGCCTTAGCCTCAGCCGACTACGGAATTCGACACTCGCGTCGGGGACCTGCTGACCCCACCAGATTGCAACCTACTGCGGTAAGGCTCTGGCTGGCCCCGACAATCAATGCACCCTCAGGTTAGAGAAGAAGAACCCCAGGCACAGACAATCAGACAAGCATATCATAACCCACAAGCAGACTGCCCACGCCCCATAACAGGGTAAACATTTCTCAAGAAACGTCCCTTCGGTCTCAAGAGGCACTGAACAATAACATGCTAGCCAACACTAAGAGTTTGCAAGAGACCTCCCTTCAGCCTCAAGCAAAGAACTTAGTGCTAGCCCCAGAGAGGTCCCTTCCCTCAACTGGGATTTCTTTTCCAAGAGACATCTCGTCAGCCTCAAGGAAATACTAAAACACTGATCTCAGAGAGGTCTCTTCCCTTATCTGAGTGAAGACAGACCCTTAGAGAAAGGCACGAAGTCCCTCTACTAACCACTCTCAGTCAAGTAAAACTGAACTTCTTTATGCCTGCCTTCATCTGAATCTCTTAGATGGACATTTTACTCAGAGACACGAAGTTCTTCTGCTGATAACTCTTAGTCAGACAGAACTGAACTTCTTCATGTCCACCATGCTCTTCTCTTTATCTTAGGATAGTATTGATCATACCTTTTGATGTGGCACAGCCATAAGCTTCTCAAATCTTTGACACCGTGTCAATACATACGAGACTGATTTCACAGTTATTCTCTACTCTCAGGGACTTGACACTCATGGAACGACTGTAGCACTGCATCAAAAGACCTGACTTAGTCGTTTGCTGAAATACTGAACAAAAGGACTTGCTAAAAATTTGAGATACTGAAACTAAGATGTTGAAACTGAAGACTAAAATTAAATTACCGGAACTGAAATGATGAAACTGAAGTTCTGAAACAAATGCTGAATCCGAAATGCTGAATTGACTATGTATAAATGATCACAGTCTCTTGAAAATTCAGACTTGCCATCTCATTGTCTCACTGTACTTTTTCTCTTAGTTCTCTGGAACCGTTCTCTTACTTAGACAACTGACCCCTCTTCCCTCTCCTTAAGGTTACTGTAGGAACCAGATCTGGGCCTCTGAATATAAACTTACGAAGTCTAGAACCTGATACCATGTTATGAACCCTGGATTCGTCCATTTCTGAAATCTCATAAACCTTGCCTTCTGTTTCTCCTGTAATTCTGTAAGGACCAAGCCATTTGGGCTCCAACCTTTTAGTCCATTGTGTCTCAAGAGAGTTTTTAAACAGAAGGACAACATCTCCAATGTTTAA